CTCAGTCTTCACGAGAGAGGACACAAGAGAAATACCTGAATTTCAACACAGAGATGTTGACTGCAAGTTTGAAGACATGCTTATAACTAATGAAAATGTGCTCAAGAGGCTTGAAAAGCTAAATCCCAACAAAGCCCAGGGTCCTGACAACATCCCATCATCCATCCTCAAACAATGTGCCACTGAACTAGCTACCCCGCTGGCAACTCTAATGAATAGGTCACTGCAGGAAGGAGTTATACCATCCGAGTGGAAGCTAGCCCATGTTTCACCTATCTTCAAAAAAGGAAAAAAACCACCCCAGGAAACTATCGTCCAGTGAGTGTAACGAGTGTGGCCTGTAAGGTATTGGAATCCATCATCAGAGATCAGCTCATAAAACATTTCCCGCAAAATGATCTGTTTAGCAGCTGTCAACATGGTTTCATGAGCGGCAGAAGTTGTTCAACCAACCTGTTAGTGGTGCTCGACCTATGGACTTCCATCATTGAGGCAGATGGCTGTGTCCACACCATTTATCTAGACTTTGCTGAGGCCTTCGATACCGTCCCACACGAAACGTTTGTTGAAAAAATTGGAAGGCTATGGAATTAAGGGGCAGATTCACACTTGGATAAGGGACTTCTTGACTGATAGTCAACAGTGTGTGGTTGTAAATGGAGAGGAGTCATCCTGGGAGCATGTGCAGTCTGGAATCCCTCAGGGAAGTGTGCTAGGTCTGTTTCTATTTGTATGCTTCGTCAATGACCTCCCTGAAATTATCCTCTCTGCTACTTTTCTGTTCGCGGATGATACGAAGATTTTTGCTAAAGTACCCGACTTTTCGGACAACCTCCAGGATGACTTGAACAGACTCCAGCTCTGGTCTGATGCGTGGAAATTGAGGTTTAATGCAGAAAAATGCAAGGTTATGTACATTGGGAAAAATAGAAACCCATGCGAGTACAAGTTGACATCCAAAGGTGAACTCATCACTGTAGAATCTGTGAGACTAGAAAAAGAGCTAGGTGTGAATATTGATAGGGATCTAAAAGTCAGCAAACATGTGAGTATCCAAGTCAACAAAGCTGACAATCTTCTCGCACTGATCCGGAGAGGTTTCACAATGCTGGACAAAGTCTCCCTTTCTACTCTGTACAAATCAATCATTCGTCCTCATCTAGAGTATGGAAATGTGGTCTGGCACCCCAGATTTAAAGGTGATGAAGAACAACTTGAAAAAGTGCAACGTCGGGCCACCAAACTAATTCCTGAACTACAGCACCTTGCTCACTGCGATCGTCTCAGAAAATTGGATCTGCCATCGCTGTACTATCGGAGAGCTAGAGGCGACATGATTGAATGTTACAAGTATTTAACAGGAATTTACAAAGTAACGGGAGATATTTTACCCCGCGATCTACACTCTAACACCAGTTGACACAGTCTAAAATTGAAAAAAAAAACCATGTGAAAACAGCAGTCCGCCAAAACTTCTTCAGCGTACGCACAGTTAACGCTTGGAATTCCCTACCGGAAAATGTGGTGTCTGCACCATCATTGAACGCTTTCAAAAATAGGATTGGCATGGTCTGGAAGGAACATAAATTCTCTATGAACCTAGATTGGTTTCAAGCTGCCAGATCCATGTCCCATGAGCACCTACAGATACCAGAGTCTGAAAACAACGTGCAAGAACGAATAAGCAACGAAAGGCTGATAGGCGACTAGCCTGACCACAGCCGTACTTCATACTACTACTACTACTACTACTACTACTACTACTACTACTAAGTCCACTTGTATACGGTATATATATCTATATATAGATTCCTCTCAGCCCACGTTGCTCATCAGAAATAAAACCAGTCCTTTGATAATTCACAACTGCAGGGATACTTGCGTCAATTCAATTCTTCTGATTATTTCCAACCAAATTACATGCAGTTGTTTTATTAGTTGCTGATTTGGAGAAAAATCTTTTTCCTGTAGTTTTGTTTTGTTTTTCGTTTTAACATTTGTCCTGTGACCTTTGCCCCATATCGCCTGTACATGTATTGTTTGTCTGTACATGTATTGATTGTCTGTACATGTATTGTTTGTCTGTACATGTATTGATTGTCTGTACATGTATTGATTGTCTGTACATGTATTGATTGTCTGTACATGTATTGATTGCCTGTACATGTATTGATTGCCTGTACATGTATTGATTGCCTGTACATGTATTGATTGCCTGTACATGTATTGATTGCCTGTACATGTATTGATTGTCTGTACATGTATTGATTGTCTGTACATGTATTGATTGTCTGTACATGTATTGATGTCTGTACATGTATTGATGTCTGTACATGTATTGATTGTCTGTACATGTATTGATTGTCTGTACATGTATTGATGTCTGTACATGTATTGATTGTCCGTACATGTATTGATTGTCTGTACATGTATTGATTGTCTGTACATGTATTGATTGTCTGTACATGTATTGATGTCTGTACATGTATTGATGTCTGTACATGTATTGATTGTCCGTACATGTATTGATTGTCTGTACATGTATTGATTGTCTGTACATGTA